CAAAGACTTCAACGGGTTTAACGAAGCTGCAAACACACATTATGTCAGTGCTTAGGAGCAGAGGAGGCAAAGGTTCACACATTCTTTACTAAGGCAGAACTACAGATACTAGAAGTAGAACTACTAATTCTTTACTCGGTTAAAGTATACAAGTACAGGCTCGGAAATGTACTCAGAGTACATAGTAAAAGTACTTTCTGTTTCGTTATGTCTGTTGTGTGATATATACGTGCAGTGATGTAATAAAATAACAATGATAATCAATAATAATCAGTAATTCCTCTCAAATACATTCAAGCTGAAGTAAGAAGCCAGTTTGCGATATTGTGTAAAACGGTAAAGAGTAAAAGTAAAAAGTAGTCTAAAAAAGTATTTGTACTTCATTACTTCCCACCTCTGCATATTTGGATAGCAGCTCTTTTCAGAATCAGGCACTGTATCTTCTTTAATGTTCTGAAACCTGTAAATCAATCATAGTTCTAGTTGTGAGACCAGGTTCAGGAAAGGAACTGTGTGGAGTGAAAGAAATAAAACTTATATTTGTTTGTTCTGTGAAACAAAAGCACAAAGAAGAAGATGTTTAACTCTGCTAAAGCTGAACTGTGAGACCAAGACCATGTGATGTTTTCAGCTCTGAGGGAAAAATATGTAGCTGATCCATCACAGACACAATCACAGCATTCATACAGACGTTATGTGAACAGTCACCCCATTCTCCAGTTTCTGTCCAACAATAGAGTTTCCTGATAATCAATAAAAGTATTTGATGACTCATCGTGCACTCGGGGGCGTATACTAATGCTGCGTCCAATCAAACGTTTTCTCTCTTCTGACGCTGCCGGAGCGGAGTGTTTCTGAGGCCTATCTATGGCCTCACTAGCATTGTACACACACCTACTGTATAGCTACGTTAGCTAGCTAGCACTACTTTATAGCTACATTAGCTAGCTCAGCTTTTTAACTGTATTCATTGATTCCGGTGAAAGTGGATCAGATTTTATGGAGAAAATATTTCCTGGTTTTCCCTCTGACGCCCTCCAGCTGCTCAGCTTCAACTCTCTGTGATTTACAGAGTTTCCTGATGGACAGATAGGTTTAGCTAAAGTAGCTAACCGCTAATTAGCTGCTGTTAACTGTATCTGCCATTAGCGAGCGACAGAGCTGGGTTCAGCAGCCAGACCAGACTGGGATCGAACACAAGTAGCTAACCTAGTTTACTCAGCCCCGGGATGCCAGGAGCCAAACCTGTCAGGAAAACCACCTCGGTGCTGGTTTCCTAGTCAGACTGACATTCTCTGAGATTGTGTTTGGTACCGGGTCCAGCTGCATTCACTGGTTCACTACTTCCTGTTTCATGGAGTCTTTTAACGCTGCATTTGTGTTTGATATTAATCTCGTAGTACCGAACTCACTGTGAATCAACAGCTTCTGACCTCCAAACACAAACTGTTCTCACGTACAGAAAACACTGATCAGGGATCAACTTATAATATCTGATTGTTACTGTTCTCCTGAAACATTAGTTCCTGTGTTCTCTGCTGACTGGGATCAGATTTGTTGTTGGTTTAATCGCCTGATCTTAAATCCAGAACAACTTTATTGCAACACGTTGAGCTCAAATGGAGCCAAAAAAACACAAGTCGATTATATTTTACTATAAATAATTTTTCTTTTTGCTGCTTTTTGTCAGTCTGTAATCACATTACATTGTAACACATTCCAGTTATTCATCAAACAATAGACCTGGGCCCTGCTGTGAAAAAGGTCTATTATATCATTACATTAATACTTAAGTTATCAGATCAATTGTGTCTTTTCATGCACAAGGAATTTCCTGCACAAAACGTTGACCCACGTCACCGAACTCACTTCCTTGTCTCTGGCTGTGAAGATGCAGATATGTCTCAGATTTAACCTCTAAACGAGGTTACTGTGAGAATCAGTCAGCAGAATATAGACAGTTCACTCAGGGCAGCTGTGGCTCAGAGGAAAAGCGGGTCGTCCACTAATTGGAAGGTTGTTGGTTCAATCCCCGGCTCCTCCTGCCACATGTCAAAGTATCCTTGAGCAAGATATTGAACCCTGAATTGCTCCTGATGCAAGCTTTGAGTGGTCAGAAGGAAAGGCGCTTTACAAGTACAGGTCCATTTACCATTCACTCAGTAACTCTGGTAAAAGCTGCAGTGAGACACTAAACACTGGAGAGAGAAACTCCCTCCAACAGAAAGATTACAGTTTGTTATTTTACACTTTATTGTGTATAAAACCTCATTAAGGAACAGCTTTGATGCAGACATTTTGTTTCTTAATGCATATACACTGGATTGATTTTAGTACTAATGTACTTGCAGTGTGCACTGTGTTATATAAATAAAATAGAAGTATCGGATCGGGACTGGGTATCGACAGACACTCAGTATTAAATGACTCGAATGAAATGAAATGAGGCAGCAACCAGTGAATCCTGATCAGTCAAAGTCAAAGTCAGCTTTAATGTCAATTCTTCACATGCACCAGACATACAAGGAATCGAGAGGATGTTTCTCATTCACCCACGGTGCACAGGCACAACCGATAAGACATTCCCTAATACTCAAATTTAAACATTAAATTTCTCAACAGACAATAAAATATAAAATATACAATACAATACTTATGGTAGTGCAAAAAGGCAGATGGTAATAGCCGCAGAAAAATTATGTAAGCTATATTTGTAACAGCAATATTGCAAAAGAACAGTCAGTAAACAAACAGTATAAACAGTATAGTAATAAATAAATAGCAGCCAATTTTAATCTGTGTGGTATGTGGTGATAGTAATGGTAAAACTAATAATAATAGGAGTGCAGGAGACAGTATGTCCAGAGTCTGGAGTGATTTTTTTGGGCGGGGGGGGGTTCAGCTTCCTGACAGACAAATTTTTTTATTTTTAATAGAACCAGCAAAGAACTGTATAAGCTGTTTTTGTCTCTGTTACAGATTACAGTGATTTATAGACGTCCCTCTGATAAACGTACTGTATGTATCTGTTTCTCTGCTCTTAATGTAAAGTTTCTGGTTACTGTCGTAACTGCTCATTGTCCCCCATCGTTGCTGTTGTCATGTTCATCATCATCAGTCACTACTATTAGTGTAGTTGTTGCTACTGTTGTTGCTGTGCACCTGTCTGTCTGTCTATCTGTCTGTCTGTGTCTCTCTCTCTCTCTCTCTCTCTCTCTCTTTCACCCCAACTGGTCGAGACAGACGACCACCCACCTAGAGCCGGAGGATCTGTCCTAGGTTTCTGCCTTTTAACAGGCAGTTTTTCCTTGCCCTTGTTGCCAAGTGCTTGCTCATGGTGGTACTGTTGGGTCTCTGTAAATAATGTTATAAGGAGTTCGGTCTACACCTGTTCTATTTGGAAAGTGTCCTGAGATAACTTCTGTTATGAATTGGCGCTATACAAATAAAATTGAATTGAATTGAATTGAATTGAATTGAATTGAACTGAATTTCCAGCATTTGTCTCTTCCAGATGTGGATCTTCTCATTCTGGTTCGTACTGAGCTGGGAAGGTCTACGTGTAGTTCCTCTGCTCCGACTACCTGCAAGATATTATAAGGTTGTCTAGTTTGGTGGAAAACAAATGAAATATGTTGTCAGTGAACATTTTACTGATTTTCAATTCAATTCAATTCAATTTTATTTGTATAGCGCCAACTGCCTGTTAAAAGGCAGAAACCTAGGACACATCCTCCGGCTCTAGGTGGGTGGTCGTCTGTCTCGACCAGTTGGGGTGAAAGAGAGAGAGAGAGAGAGAGAGAGAGGACGAGAGAGAGAGAGCGAGAGAGAGAGGCAGAGAGAGAGAGAGCGAGAGACAGACAGACAGACAGGTGCACAGCAACAACAGTATTGGCAATGGCAGTCAAGCAGGACCATGGCAGGAGGCTCCACCAGGATCGATGAGAACCTGCGAGACGAGAAAGCACAAGAACTCCGGGGAAGAAGTGGAGTTAGTAACATGCATTAAAGGGACATGAATGAGTGCAGAAAGAGAGAGGAAGAGAGTAGCTCAGTGCACCATGGGAAATCCCCCGATAGTCTAGGCCTATAGCAGCATAACTAAGGGATGGTTCAGGACTCACCTGATCCAGCCCTAACTATAAGCTTTATCAAAGAGGAATGTCTTAAGCCTACTCTTGAATGTGGTGAGGGTGTCTGCCTCCCGAACCACAACTGGAAGCTGGTTCCACAGGAGAGGAGCTTGGTAACTGAAGGCTCTGGCTCCTGTTCTACTTTTAGAGACTAAAGGAACCACAAGTAGCCCAGCATTCAGAGAACACAGTGTTCTAGAGGGGTAATAGGGTACTATGAGCTCTTTAAGATATGAAGGGGCCTGACCATGAAGAGCTTTATAGGTGAGGAGGAGGATTTTAAATTCAATTCTACATTTTACAGGGAGCCAATGCAGAGAAGCTAGTACAGGAGAGATGTGATCTCTTTTTCTAGTTCCTGTCAGTACTCGTGCTGCAGCGTTCTGAATTAATTGGAGCGTTTTAATGGACTTATTGGGGCAACCTGATAATAAAGAGTTGCAGTAATCCAGCCTTGAAGTAACAAATGCATGGATTAGTTTTTCTGCATCTGTCTGTGATAGGATGTGTCTAATTTTTCTAATATGATGTAAATGAAAGAAGGTGGTCCTAGAGGTCTGCTTTATGTGGGAGTTAAATGACAAATCCTGATCAAAGATAACTCCAAGATTCCTGACAGTGGTGCTAGAGGCCAAGTTAATGCCATCTAGAGTGACTATATCTTTAGACAATGAGTCTCTAAGGTTTTTGGGGCCAAGAACAAGAATTTCGTTTAACATCAGAAAATTGCAGGTCATCCAGGATTTTATGTCCGTAAGACATGTTTGTAATTTAGATAATTGATTAATTTCATTGGGTTTGATTGATAGATATAACTGTGTATCATCTGCATAACAGTGAAAGTTAATGGAGTGATTCCTAATAATGTTGCGTAAAGGGAGCATATATAAAGTAAATAGTATTGGTCCAAGTACAGAACCTTGTGGAACTCAATTCAATTTTCAATTCAATTTTATTTGTATAGCGCCAATTCATAACAGAAGTTATCTCAGGACACTTTTCAAATAGAGCAGGTCTAGACCGAACTCTTTAACATTAATTACAGAGACCCAACAGTACCACCATGAGCAAGCACTTGGCGACAAGGGCAAGGAAAAACTGCCTGTTAAAAGGCAGAAACCTAGGACAGATCCTCCGGCTCTAGGTGGGTGGTCGTCTGTCTCGACCAGTTGGGGTGAGAGAGAGAGAGAGAGAGAGAGAGAGAGAGAGAGAGAGAGAGCGACAGACAGACAGACAGGTGCACAGCAACAACAGTATTGGCAATGGCAGTCAAGCAGGACCATGGCAGGAGGCTCCACCAGGATCCATGAGAACCTGCGAGACGAGAAAGCACAAGAACTCCGGGGAAGAAGTGGAGTTAGTAACATGCATTAAAGGGACATGAATGAGTGCAGAAAGAGAGAGGAAGAGAGTAGCTCAGTGCACCATGGGAAATCCCCCGATAGTCTAGGCCTATAGCAGCATAACTAAGGGATGGTTCAGGACTCACCTGATCCAGCCCTAACTATAAGCTTTATCAAAGAGGAATGTCTTAAGCCTACTCTTGAAAGTGGTGAGGGTGTCTGCCTCCCGAACCACAACTGGAAGCCGGTTCCACAGGAGAGGAGCTTGGTAACTGAAGGCTCTGGCTCCTGTTCTACTTTTAGAGACTATAGGAACCACAAGTAGCCCAGCATTCAGAGAACGTAGTGTTCTAGTGGGGTAATAGGGTACTATGAGCTCTTTAAGATATGAAGGGGCCTGACCATGAAGAGCTTTATAGGTGAGGAGGAGTATTTTAAATTCAATTCTACATTTTATAGGGAGCCAATGCAGAGTAGCTAGTACAGGAGAGATGTGATCTCTTTTTCTAGTTCCTGTCAGTACTCGTGCTGCAGCGTTCTGAATTAATTGGAGCGTTTTAATGGACTTATTGGGGCAACCTGATAATAAAGAGTTGCAGTAATCCAGCCTTGAAGTAACAAATGCATGGATTAGTTTTTCTGCATCTGTCTGTGATAGTATGTGTCTAATTTTTCTAATATTACGTAAATGAAAGAAGGCAGTCCTAGAGGTCTGCTTTATGTGGGAGTTAAATGACAAATCCTGATCAAAGATAACTCCAAGATTCCTGACAGTGGTGCTAGAGGCCAAGTTAATGCCATCTAGAGTGACTATATCTTTAGACAATGAGTCTCTAAGGTTTTTGGGGCCAAGAACAAGAATTTCGTTTTTTTCTGAGTTTAACATCAGAAAATTGCAGGTCATCCAGGATTTTATGTCCTTAAGACATGTTTGTAATTTAGATAATTGATTAATTTCATTGGGTTTGATTGATAGATATAACTGCGTATCATCTGCATAACAGTGAAAGTTAATGGAGTGATTCCTAATAATGTTGCCTAAAGGGAGCATATATAAAGTAAATAGTATTGGTCCAAGTACAGAACCTTGTGGAACTCCATGACTAACTTTAGTATTTATGGAGGATTCATCGTTAACATGTACAAACTGAGTACGATCTGATAAGTATGACTTAAACCAGGTTAGGGCAGTTCCTTTAATGCCAATTTGATGCTCAAGTCTCTGTAAAAGAATATCATGGTCAATGGTGTCAAATGCAGCACTAAGATCTAATAATACAAGTACAGAGACAAGTCCATTGTCAGAAGCAGTCAGAAGGTCATTATTAACTTTAACCAGAGCTGTCTCTGTGCTATGATGAACTCTAAATCCTGACTGAAAATCCTCAAATAAACTATTGTTATGTAGAAAGTCACACAACTCTTTGGCGACTACTTTCTCCAGAATCTTAGAGAGGAACGGGAGGTTAGAAATCGGTCTATAGTTGGCTAAAACCCCTGGGTCAAGAGTAGACTTTTTAAGAAGGGGTTTAATTACAGCTACTTTAAAGGACTGTGGTACATATCCTGATAATAAAGAAAGATTAATCATATCCAGTAAAGAAGTGCCAATTAAGGGAACAACTTCTTTAAGCAGCCTAGTTGGGATCGGGTCTAACAGACAGGTTGATGGCTTCGATGAAGAAATGATTGAAGTTAACTGATGAAGATCGATAGCAGAAAAACAGTCTAAATATACATCTAAGTTTACATTGACAGAAGTCCCTGAACTTGGAGAGCCACTGATAACTGTTGATGGCAGTTGGTGATTAATTTTTTCTCTAATAGTAATAATTTTATTATAGAAGAAGCTCATGAAGTCATTGCTACTTAAGTTTATGGGGATATGTGGCTCGATAGAGCTGTGACTCTCTGTCAGCCTGGCTACAGTGCTGAAGAGGAACCTAGGGTTGTTCTTATTTTCTTCTATTAGTGCTGAGTAATAGGCTCCTCTGGCATTACGGAGGGCCTTTCTATAAATCTTAAGATCATCTTGCCAATTTGAGCGATATTCTGATAATTTGGAAGAGCGCCATTTCCTTTCAGATTTCCTAGCTATTTGCTTTAACTGGCGGGTTTGGTGGTTATACCAAGGTGCTAGTCTCCTATGTTTTAATAATTTCCTTTTTATAGGAGCGATAGAGTCTAATGTTGATCGTAGTGAGCCTGTAGCACTATCGACAAGATTATCAATTTCAGAGGGACTAAAGTTGTTATAGGACTCTGTTAAATTCAGACATGGCATTGAATTAAACACTGAAGGAATCTCCTCCTTAAATTTAGCTACAGCACTGTCAGATAAACATCTGCTGTAGGAAGTTTTGCCTAATGGCTTATAATCTAATAGTATGAATTCAAAAGTTACTAAATAATGGTCAGATAGGAAAGGATTATGTGGGAAGACTATTAAATGTTCAATATCAATGCCATATGATAGAACAAGGTCAAGAGTGTGATTAAAACAATGAGTTGGTTTATTTACACTCTGACAGAAGCCAATTGAGTCTATTAATGATATAAATGCATTACTAAGGCTGTCATTGTCAACATCCACATGAATATTAAAATCACCTACAATAATTACTTTATCTGATTTAAGGACTAAGCTTGATAGAAACTCTGAAAATTCAGATATAAAATCAGAGTACGGTCCAGGAGCGCGGTACACTATAACAAATAGAACTGGCTGCAGTGTTTTCCAGTTTGGGTGAGAAAGACTAAGAACAAGGCTTTCAAATGAATTATAATTTAGTTTAGGTTTAGGGTCCATTAAAACGCTCGAATCATATATAGCTGCTACTCCACCTCCTCGGCCTGTGCCTCGAGGAATGTGAGTATTAATATGACTGGGGGGTGGATTCATTTAGGCTAACATACTCCTCGTGGGACAACCAGGTCTCAGTAAGACAAAGTAAATCAATATCATAATCTGATATTAATTCATTCACTAGAACAGCTTTAGAGGACAGAGACCTGATATTTAACAGCCCACATTTCATTCTCTTATTTTGTGCTACTGAGGAGTTGGTTTTAATTTTTATTAGATTTTTATGTTGAACTCCTCTTGTTTTTATTTCTTTAAATAGTTTAGGTGGTCGGGGGACAGACACAGTCTCTATGGGGTTTTGGGTGGGTGACTGTTCTAAAGAAAGCGCAGAGGAGTGTGTAAGACAGCAGCTCTGCTTCCTGGTCCTAACTCTGGACTGTCAGGTTTTAGAAATAAACTTCGCCATATTTCTAGATAAGAGAGCCGCTCCATCCAAAGTGGGATGGATGCCGTCTCTCCTAATCAGACCAGGTTTTCCCCAAAAAGGCTTCCAGTTATCAATGAAGCCCACATCGTTTGCTGGACACCACCTCGACAGCCAGCGGTGGAATGACGACATGCGGCTATACATGTCATCACTGGTCACATTGGGGAGGGGTCCAGAGAAAACTACGGTGTCCGACATTGTCTTAGCATAGTTACACACCGACTCCACATTAATCTTAGTGACCTCCGATTGGCGTAAACGGGTGTCGTTACCGCCGACGTGGATAACAATCTTACTGTATTTACGTTTATCTTTAGCCAGCAGTTTTAAATTTGATTCAATGTCGCCCGCTCTGGCCCCAGGGATGCATTTAACTATGGCCGCTGGCTTCGCTAACTTCACGTTTCTGACTATGGAGCTGCCAATAACCAGAGTTGGTTCCTCAGCGGGTGTATCGCTGAGTGGGGAAAATGTATTAGAAACGTGAAGCGGTTGGTGGTGACCTGTGGGCTTCGCCGTTCTAGTCTTCCTTCGCTCAGTCACCCAGCCTCCCTGTCTTCCCGGCTGCTCGGGAACTACCGGGGGATCTACAGAGCTAACAGAAGCTACCTTCGGTCGGACCGCACCGGCTACTGGGGGGCTGGCTAACTATAGCGGCTAAAGATATCTCCGTGGTGCGGTGCCGTTCCTCTAACTCACTAAGCCTCGCCTCCAGCGCAGTAAATAAACTACATTTAATACAGGTACCATTATCTTTAAAGGAGGCAGAGGAATAACTGAACATCTGACACACTGAGCAGGACAGAGGAGAGGGAGAGGGAGAAGCCATAGCTAACTGCTAATGCTAATGAAACTAGAGTGTATGAAAAACTTTGAAAGTAGTGAAAAGTCCCTAAAAGAGGGAGAAACTCCAAGTGTTTAAGTAGAACTAGTCTACGTTTAAATGTTAAGCGGGTAAATAACCGCTGTAACGAGTAAAACTAATTTATATTTAGCGTTCACTGACAGAGCTACAGCACCAAACAGTGTACACAGAGCAGGAAGTAAACCGGAAGTGAGTCAGTACGCTTACCGTAGCACGTCCAATCCAAAGTCGTCCAATCCAAAGTCAACTCCATGACTAACTGTAGTATTTATTGAAGATTCATCGTTAACATGTACAAACTGCGAGCGATCTGATAAATATGACTTAAACCAGCTTAGTGCGGTTCCTTTAATGCCAATTTGATGCTCAAGTCTCTGTAAAAGAATATCATGGTCAATGGTGTCAAATGCAGCACTAAGATCTAATAATACAAGTACAGAGACAAGTCCATTGTCAGAAGCAGTCAGAAGGTCATTATTAACTTTAACCAGAGCTGTCTCTGTGCTATGATGAACTCTAAATCCTGACTGAAAATCCTCAAATAAACTTATTATTATGTAGAAAGTCACACAACTCTCTGGCGACTACTTTCTCCAGAATCTTAGAGAGTAAGGGGAGGTTAGAGATCGGTCTACAGTTGGCTAAAACCCCTGGGTCAAGAGTGGACTTTTTAAGAAGGGGTTTAATTACAGCTACTTTAAAGGACTGTGGTACATATCCTGATAATAAAGAAAGATTAATCATATCCAGTAAAGAAGTGCCAATTAAGGGAACAACTTCTTTAAGCAGCCTAGTTGGGATCGGGTCTAATAGACAGGTTGATGGCTTCGATGAAGAAATGATTGAAGTTAACTGATGAAGATCGATAGCAGAAAAACAGTCTAAATATATATCTAAGTTTACATTGACAGAAGTCCCTGAACTTGGAGAGCCACTGATAACTGTTGATGGCAGTTGGTGATTAATTTTTTCTCTAATAGTAATAATTTTATTATAGAAGAAGCTCATGAAGTCATTGCTACTTAAGTTCATGAAGTCATTGCTACTGATCTGTCAGTATCAACAATTTAGTGCTAGGTTTGTTAATTAACAACATTTCACAATTATGTTTCCCCTCAAAATGTTTTGAGACTATAAATCAACTTTTCAGCAGCTCTCTGAGAAGTTTTTCTGTTTTTAGGTACAAAGCTGCATCTTCATCTCATCTTCATCTCATCTCCAGCTCTGTCCCATGTCTGTCCTCCAGCCTTTGGAGGAGGAGTTCCTGTGTTAAAGGTTATTTAAGCAGCTTAAACCCTGAAGTTAACTGAAGTGTTCCCACAATGACCATCACACCGTGTGCAACAGATCCAAACCTGCCATATTTTGCTCCACTGTACGTGGAGGACCAAAATGAAGCCGATAAAATCTGAAGGAGTTAGTTAAAATAGAAGCCCTGAAATGTCGGAAATGGCATCCCAGTTTGACATTCGATTCAACCTGGCCAACTTTGACGGCACGCCATGGACATGCCCTTCAACGTACAGTCACAAATAGCACAACGTTTAGTCAGCAACATTTTTTGACTGTACTGACCAATTTTGAATTAGATCCAATAAGTCCCCTATGAGGAGTTTGTTCAAGTACAAGGCGAAAAATTCACCGGAAAAGCCACGGACACACACTTCAACGTACAGTCACAAATAGCACAATATTTAATCAGCAATGTTTTTTTTATTGTACTGACCAATTTTGAAGTAGATCCGATAAATTCCCTATGAGGAGTTCGTTCAAATACAAGGCGAAAATCAAAATGGCCAACTGTAGGGTTTGGGGCATGGATCCAAGAGGCTTTTCTGTAGGTCCTGGCACGTTACACGTGCCAACCGAGTTTCATACTTATCCGTGAAACGTGGTGCCGGGGCTGCTTTGTTGAAATACTGTAGGAGGCAGGACAACCACGATTTTTGGTATGTGAGCTACAGACATAGTCACACATTTTTCTTAATAGTAGCGCCACCTAGTGGCTGACCCGAAAGTGTCGCATAGAATATCAAATTTTTCACCAGGCCTGACCACTTTGCCAAATAAAATTGAGCTTTCGCATATGTTCAGGGGGTCAAAAATGCCGTCAAAGGACTAAAAAGTAATAATTCTAGCAAAAACAATAGGGACCTTCCAGCAGGTCGCTGGCTCGGTCCCTAATTATATAAAATGTTCCCCAAACAGGAAATAATCTGCTCAAAATTCATCCATATCTCTGGTTAAACTTCCTGCAGTTACTGAGTGAGAAGGAAGGTTGGGACTCACTGATCTGTATAGACCCAAAGAATAATCCGCAGGCAGTTGATGTAATGTTGGGTTTTTATTGCTACTGTGGAGCTGTGTATAATACACACACATATATATATATATATATATATATATATATATATATATATATATATATATATATATATGTTTTTATTGTGTGTGTTACTGTGTGTTAGTGTGTGTGTGTGTGTGTGTTACTGTGTGTGTGTGTGTGTGTGTGTGTGTTATTGTGCGTTAGTATGTGTGTTACTGTGTGTTAGTGTGTGTCTGTTAGTGTGTGTGTGTGTGTGTGTGTGTGTGTGTGTGTTTGTGTGTGTGTGTGTGTGTGTGTGTGTGTGTTACTGCGTGTTAGTGTGTGTGTGTGTGTGTGTGTGTGTACCGTGTGTTAGTGTGTGTGTGTGTGTGTGTGTGTGTGTGTGTGTGTTTGTTACTGTGTGTTAGTGTGTTTGTGTGTGTGTGTGTGTGTGTTTATTGTGTGTAAGTGTGTGTGTGTTACTGTGTGTTAGTGTGTGTGTTAGTGTGTGTTAGTATGTGTGTTACTGTGTGTTAGTGTGTGTCTGTTAGTGTGTGTGTGTGTGTGTGTGTGTGTGTGTGTGTGTTTGTGTGTGTGTGTGTGTGTGTGTGTGTGTGTGTGTGTGTGTTACTGCGTGTTAGTGTGTGTGTGTGTGTGTGTTACTGTGTGTGTGTGTGTGTGTGTTACTGTGTGTTACTGTGTGTTAGTGTGTGTGTGTGTGTGTTATTGTGTGTAAGTGTGTGTGTGTTACTGTGTGTTAGTGTGTGTGTTAGTGTGTGTGTTGAATAACAGCTCTGTATAAATGGGCTCCATTCAGCGTGACAAACAGT